TCCTCCTCCTCCTCCTCTTCCTCCTCCTCCTTCTTCTTTTTAAGGAAGGACAGCACCTGAAGATCCAGGTGACATTGCCGAATGATGGTGAGCTTTGGTACCTGTGATTCAGAGGAAAAGCACACGTTAAGAATAGCAGAAAGATTCATTACAGTTTCATGATAGGAAACTTGGTGATAGGAATAGAACTAAATGCATTCAGACCACTGTCACTGGGACTCTCCCTCAGCCTTCTTTTTAGATTTGTGCTTCCAACTGATGCAAAGTTTTAATAGTATATAATGCAAAAGCAGTAGGAAAGAAAATATCAATCAAAACTGATTTCACAGGGGCCGCAGGGATAGCTCAGCAGTCTAAGTACCTGCCTAGGCAAGCACAAGGAGCGGGTTTGATCCTCAGTACCACATGCCATGCCAGTCCTGCCCTGGGCACATCCCGTGGTCCACCAAGACCAGGTGTAGTGGTTAACACTTGTAATCCCAGGGCTGGGGAGGCTGAAACATGAGGATCTATCTCTATGAGTCTGAACTGCATAGTGAAACCCTATGCAGAAAACATTTTTTAAAAAACTGATTTTACTCCAGATCTTTTTCCTTTAACTGAGAGGTCCAAAAGAAATCAGAAAATAGAAGATCCCTGAAGCCATCCTCATCCAGGCTTGTCACTGTTCCCCTTTCTTTGTAAGGTGTTTTCACCAGACAATGTTCATTCCAGTTATATTTGTTTACCCAGTTACACATATTTCAAAAAATGTGTTAGATACTATGTTTATATTCAAATATTTTGCAAGTAACAATGTTAATTCATATATAAGTATATGAAGGTATAAATAGATAAATGGTTGAATGGATATTTTACAGAAGTATTAAGAAAATAAAATATTGAGAATGCCTCAGAATTAGACTAGTTGTAGAGAAAATGAATTTAAAAGACATATCCTTAAGTGTACAATATTTTTAAATTTTATCCTGACATTTCTTTTCTCATTACTTTTGTAAATTGAAGGAGTCAGTGGTACCAACATCCTTCATATATGCCTATTACTGATAATTCTAACAATTACTAACAAAATAAGAGAAATAGAATATTTTAGGGGTACTTACTGTTTTAAATTGAGGCATACTTTATATTTCACTGCTACAACTAATAGCTTTAACAATATCATAGAATGGTCTTAAAATAACTTTATGAACTGTGTTGATAAGTGAACATTTCTTATAAGGAAGCCAATTTTAGTTACAATTACAGCATAATAGGTAGTTTGAAATCTGGATTAGAAGCCTGCTTCCATGAAATCACTGATTATGGCTGGTACATTAAAAAGAGTCTCTTCATTAATCCAGATAAACCTGCCAGGAAGCCATCATCTTTTATTAAACCATCTTTAGCTACCTATTTTCATCATTCAGACAAATCCAACTCACAATATGTGAATTTTAAGGCAGCATTACAGGAGTTAATATTTTCTTCCTGTTGCTATTTTTAAATAGAAATCATTATGTCTCAATGTCCAGTGTGCTTCACAAATATATTATGTATTCTCCGCAAAAAGATATAAGCTGTAACAACAAAGACAAACCATTTTGAATAGTAATTTGGAGGAAAAGAGAAACATTTAAGAGAAATAAACCTGGTCTACAATATCTAACATAAATCCGATATCACACAAAGATTTAACCTCCACTGAGCATGCTCAGACAACAACATTGTGGACCGTTAGTTCCTTCATTCATGAAGCGTTATTAGAACAAATTCATAGAAATTGTGAGAGTTAGAGACAATGGATGAAACATTTCAAATGGTATCCAACACCTGAGTGAATTGCTATCATTAATAATTATGTCCATTTAACTACAATGTCCACAAAGTAGTTTTAAACCCAAAAATGAAATTTAATGAAGTGTTTGTATGACTTCTATGAACGATAAAGCTGATTTTGCTATTTCTAAAAGATAGTTTCATGTTGTGATCTTGAAGTGTCCTAAGTGTCCAGCATGGGACACGGGATCTGACAGAAGCAATTAGATGCATTCCTTATGTTTACAGTAAAATCTGTGTGAGATTTTAAACATTTTAGACAATTTCATTTGATATATATATAATTATGAGAAAGTGGCATAGAGACATTTGTTTCTTTTTAAACCATCAGGTACATTTTGCATAATTAGGGTTAAATATTTAGGACTTCAATTTTTCTCAAGCTCAAAACTAAAGTAAATGATTAACTGTCCTTTTTTCAGGAGTCTTATTACAATGTGCTCCAGTTTTTGGAAAAGTTTCCCATAGTAATGTTGACATTTGGATTTTGTTATGTGAAGCCATTCTGTGCATGGGAAAGTATTTAGCAGGATCTCTGACCCTTATCTACTTACCAGTAGCTCATCCAGTTGTGACAAGCACAAGTTTCCAGACATTGCCAAATGTCCCCTGAGGGGCAAAATCGCTATCAATCAAGATCCACTGTTTAGAATGATTGAATATTGGAATGATGAGATTAAGATATGGGGCCTTGGTAACCTAATTCCATCTTTCAAGCTTTACTTTTCCCATATATATATAGTCAGAAGTAGATAAAATATTTTTTCTTTTCTTTTGTTTAGGGTATCACTACACAGCTGGGATTCATAGTGATCCTTCTGATTTCTGCCTCCCTAGTGCTGAGATTACAGGTGTATGCCACCATACCTGGACTTCATCACTGGCTCAGCGCTGGGGTCAGGGCCAGTGCAGCATGTGTTGGCAGGGATTGAACTCTGGTACCTGTGCTTACCTAAGCAAGCACTTAATCCACTAAGCTATGTCACCAGGCCTCAGAAGTAGATGATTTTTAAAGCTTTCCTTACTAAAACTAAACCAATAAGGCTAAAAACATTTTTTTCTCAGAAGAATGCAGTAATAAAAAGTGTTTTTGGGGGCTGGGGAGATAGCTCAGTAGAATAAGCGCTTGCCTGGCAAGCACAGAGTCCTGAGTTCAATCCCTGGTACCTCATAAAAGAAAAAGTGTTTTTATTGGATTGAAGTAATTAAATTAAAATGTAAAATTTTTCATATATTTAAAATGTGAAATAAAATTTTAAAAATTAATTTTACAAAATTGACTTAGAAAACTTAGGTTTTTTTCCAAATCCTCTCTAATTATAATCGTTTAATGAAAAGTTTTAAATGATCTCTTTCAAGACAGAACTAATATTCCTCAAAACATAATTGCATTGCCTAATATTAATAAATATTCTTGAAATAAGCATTAAGCCACTTTGTGCCGAGATGTGTGGATGAGTTTTTTCCACATAGAATGAGTTTTCTTTCCTCTCTTTAAAGGTGATTGTGCTTTTGCTAATATCTCTTATTTCTAAAAAGAAAATATTTCTTACAGTTTGGGAAAGGAAACAAAATGATATTTCCTTGTACCATGAGTTTACACACTTTCAGT